TCCCATACACACACTAGCCAATGAGTTTAAGGGTGTACAAACAAGAACCTGGTAGAGCAGCGGATATATCAGGAAACACACAGATAATGTCATAATCAACCGATCAGCTTTTATCCAATAATATAAAGGGCTTGCATGATTTTATATGATAGTGTATCAACTCTAAGAAGTTAACTTATAAAATCTCCGGAAAATAAAAATGTGAAAAGAGTTCCCAGAGATCTGGAATCAGTAAAGACAGCCCAATACAAAGGGAAGGCAGATATAAAGATGTCTTAATTGAACTTAAATGCCCTATAGTTTCCCCTACTTTGCACTTACATACCCTCACTTGGTTTTGGCAGCACTTATATACTCTAAAGTTTTTAAAACTTGCACTTACATATCCTCACTTGTTTTGGCAGAACACATATATACCGTAAAGTTTTTAAAATGTGCACTTAAATACCCTAAGATATGCAAACATGAGGGATTTTAAGTGCAAGTTTTCAAACTTTAGGGTATTTAGGTGTCAGTTGTAAAATCTTTAGGGTATTTAAGTGAAAGTTCTAAAAACTTTAGAGTATATAAGTGCTGCCGGAGACAAGCGAGAGCACTTGAGTGAAAGTTTTAAGAACTTCAGGCTATATAGGTGTTGCCAAAAACAAGTGATACGGTATTTAGTGCAACTAATAAGCCTATAAAGAATTCAGTCAACCGTGAGGCAAATTAACAGCAAAACGAAATCACAATAGAGGGCCAATTCCTAATTCTGAGAATTACACTTTCTAAACAGTGAAGCCCCGATCTAATACATTCAATCCCTAGGCTGTAGGTCATCACCATTCAAAAGCGAAGAGGCAAACGGACTAGCCTGAAGAGAAACCCAATTCTTGATGGCGCCAAGGTAGTTCCCCAGGTGTACAGATCCAGTGGGTTGAACCCCGGAAACAACTCTTTTCCTGTAAATGAGGATTTTTTTTAGTAAGAAGCTGCATTGTATTAAGCTTCTCTTCTTGAAGCTAATTCTAACATAAATTTTCCCCCAGGTAGAAAATCAAGAAGTCTAATGGCCTCAAAATCATCATGGCCACCAGAAACCCTATAAGGAACAATAATATAAGTCGAGCTCACTTTCTAGGGCTAGCTATGCTCTGCGTTGATTCCGTTGACGGCGCCGCGACGCTACAGAGACGTGGACACAGTTGACGGCGCCGCGACGCTACAGAGACATCGGTGTCCACGGAGCTCCCCGGTTCTCTGGGCTCGACTCCCTGGGTTCCGACCTCGGCCACTGTCGTTAGCAAGAATGAAGAGAAGCTGTAATCTATAGCGAAATCGAGAGAGGGAGAGAGAAGCTGTACCTAATACCAATTTCCATAAATTGAGGGTCTAATTGAAAAATAACTTAAGAATTGTTGAGGGAGAAATTCCTGGCATAAAAGATGTAAAGGGCTAGCATCTAAAACAAATTATATACCGTAACGGAGCATAAAAAGCCACGCTAAATTCACATGTAACTTCGTAGTTGTTAACTACTGTTTCATTACAACTGTAGTCTTTTCGTAACTTCAGTTACAAAAACATCCCTCCCAAAAAAAATGCAAACAAGGATGCGTCCAATTGCAGCGAACCACGGAAAGTTGCTGATTGGATTATTCTTGAAAACATTTGCACTTTGGGAATGATGAGCCTAATCTGCTAAAGAGACCAAGAGATGGGTTTCCGCACCGGAGGCATTACCAGCTTTACATCGCTCGTACGAGATTTATGTCTACTGACCACCACTACTGGCAAGTCTGACCACCACTACTGGCAAGTCTTTCAAGTACAAATCTGCGCCTCAGCTGAATGAGGGACGACGGGCGGAATGAATTGATGCTGCTTTGCGTTAAGGTTGAAGCTCAAGTGCACTGCGCTGGGTGTAAGAGATCATCGAGGTGTAGCAGCTCGGAGAAGAGATGAGGCTCTGCACGCTAACTTCGCCCTCAACGCAACAAGCCCAGAACAAAAACAACATTTCTAAAAACCTCCGCTCCCGAAATCCTAACAAAGCTGTCACCACTTACGAAATCAAACATTTGATGTACACTTCTGACAACTATCCTGCCAACAGTCAAGGAGTACAAATGACATACCTCTCGGACCAAAAAACAGAGAGAGAGGGAGAGAGGGAGAGAGAGAATAACCGCACGTCAACTAATATGACGCTCTACATATTTTCACTGTCTAAAGGCTAGTTTCTATCATCAGATCCCAAATCCACTACAATTACAGAAATGTTATCAGAACTGTTCTTCCTGTAAGCCAACTTAACGAGGTAATCAGCAACAGCCTGTGCAGGGGATACCAACACTTCATCCACCACTCCATTTTTTCGGTGCCTCTTCAGAAGGCGACAAGCTACTTCACCAGCTTCGCAGTTAGAAATCACATCCCACAATCCGTCGCTTGCCAAAATCAAACACTCATCATCTTCGCTTCGTGACATGAAACTCACTTCTGGAACTGGAATTATCCATGGTCTCATATATCGATCACCTGAAGCATTGTTGGTGATTGGTTAGAACATAGAAATTTATTGTCATTTTAAATCTTAGAATGATCAAGGCATGCTGTTGATGATAATTTCTTCTTTCAGAAAGTAGATCAAGTACCTAGAGCAATCTGCATTAGTTAAGTTAGTGGTCGTTTTGCAATGAAGGAACACAACATCAAGTAGAGATGATACTATAGCAAGGGAACTAAATGATGCCATCCCTAAACAGTTAAACAAATTGATAGAAAATTAAAAGCTAAGAACAGGAGCTTTTCACCTATCGATCTTGACATTGCCAAAACTCCCATTACTCTGGCCCCCTGCCAATTTATGACTCTTCCTCCCTCATTTTCGATTCTTTGAAGCTCATCCTCTCTGTCAGGCTGTAAGAAACGTTTTGAGAGGAGGGGGGAAAGCAAAGGAAAAAATAGCTAACAAGCACATTGTGTAGGCAAAAACACAGCTTTAGGCAGCGTTGCTACTATATACAACCAATTACAGCCAACCTCTAATACTATATCAATAATAAAGGATCCATCCACATCTTTCTTCTTGTCCCTACTTTCTTTTCTGATCCAGGATTTTTTCTGTAGATACCAAAGGGCATCCCTGATCATAAGGACTCTTTGAATAGACAGGTAGCATAGGTGGTACTGTGAGATACGTGTATAAAGTATGAAATAATCAATAAAGACAAAGAATCATTCAGGAAAAGGGAATAGATTGATACCTCTGAAGGACATAGTGATAAAAAAACAAATTGTTAGATGAAGCATATTTAAAAACACAAACGTCAATTATACCCTTATGCGTAGTCTGGTTGATCGCCTGTCATGACTGCAAAAGATCGTCCAATTTTCGCTTATCCATGATGTAAAGAGTCCTAGAACTCATAGGCTTGAAAGCATGCAGTTTCAAAAGTAAACCATGCTACCTACTACCAAGTTTATACAACATGTTGACAAAATTAGAACAGAGTCCTGAAAATTTTTTCACATACACCTCGACAAGAAAGAAGATTAAATTGTTGCCATCATGATAAGATACTATATGAAACATGAGAAGAACTTAAATATTTGTAGCACTGCAAGCAGGAATTAAGAAAACAAGACATCTCTTGAATTTGAACAGATTTGTCAACTCAAATCCTTCCAGGGGATTTTACCATTTGAACATATTTTACTGCTTCAGTGTGATCTGCTATGAATAGGTGCGTAACAATCTCTCAACTGATTATCATATAAGGAAGTGTTCTACTAGGGGAATCACTCTGCACATATATCAATTATTTTTTTAACAAACTACTTACTACTGCAGAAGTACTGCTCCACTTTTGTCACTGATTAAAATCAGGGTTCAGTGGTACAGACTACTAGGTCACCTTTGAATAAGCATGTTCTATATAAGAGACGCTAATTAAATCCAAGAGACTGCAAGGTAGAGATTTTGCATTAAATAAATACCAAGCATTAAGATATTCATGTTATATATAATGGGAATGTTGTCTCTCAACCTATCAAAGGTACATTAACTTGGAAGATTGAGAAGTGAACCTTATGATCAACTGTTAACTGGATAGTCTGATTATGACGGCAAAGAATGGCCCTTGAGTCACCACAATTGGAAGCAATAATCTGACATCCTGATATCACAACAGCCACAGCAGTAGATCCAATTACATCTGGGGCTACAGACTCACTTATGATCTCATCATCAACCATCTCAAACCCATCACAAAATGCCACCTCCCATCTTCTCTTCCACCCCTCTTCACCATTGAAATTCTCCCACTTCTTTGCCACTACCTCATGAACCCGGTGTGCACAAAATCTAGCCACCTGATTACACCCAAAAGTATTAGCAAAGGCTAACAGGAGCAGAAAAGGCCCCATAAAAGCCCCCTTAAACAACATGTAAGCATTTAGGAAACCAGCTTCTAACTTGGCTCTTTGGTAAACCAGAGAGGTCCTCAGTCCAGCACCACATAGCTACTCTGAGCTCTTATTTTCCCTCCCTTTCCCCTCTTCCCTTTCCCTAACAAAAATCCCAACCTCTGCAACCTACGGACACAACATAAACAAGAATGTGCACATGTGCATGCACACAAGCACAAGAAAAACAGAATACATTCGTTTCTCCTTATACATGGTAAGCCTCTTAGATATACTGTGGTACTGAAATATATTGAAATTGTCAACTAGGTTAGAATCCCTTGACCACTTATTGGTATCAATGTTACATTAAACTTTGGGCGCTTCTAGGCGTCGGACTTGGCGCTCAGCGCCTAGTCGCGGGCGCCTAAGTGGTTTCTGGGCGTTTTTTTCTTTCTTCATTTAAGTGGTGGTCGATGAGGTTTTGCTGAAGGTCGGAGGAGGTAGTGGAGATGTTCATATTTGGAGGTTAATGGAGTTTGGAGGACGTGCGACACATAAAATCATAATCAAGGCCTACATGGTGCAATCTACATAAGCAGATAATGCTCCCCTAAACGCTCGTAAAATCTAGGTGGGCAACCTAAATACTGCCTAGACGCTAGGCGCTAATTAGGCGGCCTACGTACCGCCTAGGTCTAGGCGTACGCCTAAGCGGACTAGGCGGAGGTTTTTTAAAACAGTGATTGGTATCAAATATATAAATGTGCTTTTCCTCATCTATCCTTCAACATTGACACCTAATAGGAAGATCCAGAGTATGCAGAGTTATCAAATGCATTTATAGTTTGTCTGAATCGAATTCAACAATTTGATAATGAACCATATGGCATCAAACCCAAAAAATTGAGGTTGGAGAGTCATCAGCCAACACAGGGGTGAAAAAGGACAGTAAAAAGGAAATCATGCTGCTCTCCTCTCCTCTCCCCTTCTACATGAAACTTCTTAGAAGATAAGGGGACTAAAGTACATTCAGATTATCATTACGTCTTTTAGCAAAAGGCATCAGAATTCAATGTTTGACATCAAACATATATAGCATACCCAAAAGCTTGGACTTGTAAGCTTTGGATAACTCCAAAACATGTGAAAACACCTATGCGGTCAATGTGGTTACACCCATCTTACCTACCCACTAACAGGTTCTTGTTTAAGCTCGAACAGCTAGAACCAAGCTTGATTTTGAGCCATGGCCAACCACAAGAAATCTAACTCTACAGAGTCCAAAGGCAACCTTCTGCAAGCTCGATTATTCATGCTACCATGAAATTTTTGGCAAATACTAAAAAGGGTTACCTGTGGACCCCTATACAATTGCCCAATTGCGCATATATCCCATGGAAATTTATTGTTGCAGATAGATCTCAGGCGTGATTTTTATTTTTTTTACCCTCAAGAAAGAGATTAGATTTTTGAAATATGGACATCCTGGGGGTAAAAGAGGCAGGACAATTCACTCAGGGGGTCTATTTGCAACAATTGAACTACAAGGGGTCTATCCCACAATTAACCATAGTAAAGAAACCTTGTTGATTAAAAATCACAATCTTTCATGTAACATAGTCATATAACTGCAGACACTAAATTTGCAGGTTTGGAATTATAGCTTGTTGAAACTCGTGTACATGAAAGACTCTACCTTGAATTCATGTTTAATGCAACAGTTGTGTACTTGTATGCATTGCACCTATTTAGATTGGTTATAATGAATCTATCATCTACAGGGCATAGATGGAACTGAGCCCAAGTTCTGTCCCTTATGAGATGGGATTCATTCTAGCCAACTGATTTGAGACTTCTTATTAGGACTGATGGGTTGAACTACCCCAACAAGCAGCCAAAACCTGAATGTGTGCATTATTAGGAATTTTACTAGTCATCTGCAGTCACATTAGGCAATTATGTTAATTCACCTATTTTGGTGTTCCTTAATAATAAATCCGTACCTATGTGATGTAAAATTGGAGACTGTATGAAATTAGGAAATATTCGTGTGCACCTGCTTCATCATTTATCAAAAAGATAAAAACAATTATGATACTAGTGCAGCAATACAGAGACATCTACCACAAGCCTTCAAAATTCTTGTAACAAGTAAAATATACAACAAATTTAAATAAAAAATACAATACCTTTTTCTTTTAAGAAACTATCATAAACTATACGATTATCTCAAGAAACTACAATGAATTCTTCTGTCATTATTAACTAATAAAAACTTTTGCCAGAACTCATCCGTCACCACTGTTCGTTCAAGTGACTAGTAAGTCTTGCACATGATACTTGATGGAAAAAATTGCCCAAAGACTTATATAAAACCCTCTCGTTTTCTTTATCAGAAAACTACCACGAACTCTTTTTCGTCATCCTCCTATCATGCTAATATTACTTCCTTCTCTCTTACCCCCACCTCCCTCACCTCTTCTTTCATGTCATCCGCTAGTTATCTTGACTTCAAAAACAAGGCTTTTTCTTTCAAGATTATACCATCTCCAAAACCCGACACTAATTAAATTTCTTCATAGAAAAAGAAACAACCACTTAAGAGACTACTTGAGCCAACTATCTTCTTTTCAAGACAAAAGAGCTTGTTTTCCTAAATATTCAAGCCATGCCCTTCGCTACCAAACTTTTTTGCATCCTGAGAAAACTTTCATCTCACCATCTCATTAATCATCTCTCCTTAGTTCTTGAACTGTAGAGTACCTAACGAATAATCAACATCATTCATCTTAATTTACACATTACATGATGTATAATTAAGATTCTTCTAATTATTACATCGATAAAATCGTCTATAAAATAATTCTAAAATATCCAAATTAAGCCGATTGGGCACCAAGATGATAAGAACTCACTTGCCACCTCACAATATCATCATTGCGCTATAAAATTGTAAAATAATAAAAAAAAACAACTCCAAGAACCCCGGCTGATTAAGATAACAATATCACCAAGAACCCTAAGGTCAACGGTACCTGAGATCCCCCGTGCCCATCATAGACCCCAAAGAACCGCACGTGCGAGATCTCCTCAGACCCGGACTTAACCTCCGCCGACGCAGCCACCCACCCCTCGCACGTGCGGCGGCCATGAACTCCGGGCGCGCCACCTGCCACTCGCGTCTCCATCTCCTTCCTCCTCCCACCACCGACGCGACCCCACGCCATCGCCCTCCCGACGCATCTCCGCTCTCGACGCCGTTCTCCGACGCCGTCACGGAGCTTCGCGGAGGGATCTCGCCGGAGGATAACGTGGTACGAGGAGGGACCGCCTAGCTATGGCTTGCTCCCTCACGCTCCGCTGCGTGACCCAGCTGTGGTTACTGCCGCTGGCGGTGGTCGAGTGAGGGTTCGGGTTCCATCGATGGAGAGGAGACTGGGTGTCGCGGGGGAGGGGTTTCGGGGGATTAAATAGGAGGGGAGGCGTATGATTGGGTGACACGTGGCGTGGTGGCGTGGGGGCGATTTTATGGTGAGCGTACCTCAGCTACTGCTGTTAGCTTGTAGATTGGGACCTTTGGGTATACGTGGAGACACGCGGCAGGGGGGTGAGAGGGACGGGCCAAGGTGCTGAAGGATATTTCGTTAAAAAGGTGAGGGTGTTTCTGTCAATTTGGTCGGTGCCCGCGGAAGGTGCTGGATACCTTGATTTCGGAGTACCTCCGTACATGTACAGAGTAGAGGGGTTGAACAAAGCATTTAAAATTTTCGAATCAATCAATATCCGTCAATCTTTGAATGATATGTTGATGCCCTTACCGTACGTGTAAGTTCTTATGAAATTTGTGCTTGAATTAAGCGATTGCCGTAAGTAGAATAAGCCTCCTCATTAGTCTATTTCTACATGATTTAGCAAAATAAGTTATCATCTCTTAACAAAGGGGTCAAACAGATCGATTATCGTTTCAATACGATACTTATTATTATATTTGTATTTTTCTCACCAATGACGAATAAAAATATAAATACCATTTTGATAAGAAATACTCGTATCTATATCTGCTAAAATCAAATTGAATATACGTGCAGATATGCAAATACAAAATGGATATGAGAAAGAGAGTAATATGGAAAAAAAAGTAGTTCGAATGATACAAGAGAGTTTAGTAATATGTTTGATACATTTGAAAAGCAAGACTAGACTCTTGATCACTAAAATCAACATCAAATTCATTAATCTAAAAATTAAAACAATTGCAGCAATATGATCAGCAACATATATTGAGATGTGTTAAATATTGATCCAGATATTTCACTACATATCTGTTACGGGGTACACCTGTTTCCAAATATATGATCTGATGAGTCGTCATCTCTATCCAGCCAGACAAGCCGACATCCCAATGTCGACACGAGGAGCGGTGCTAATCGACACGAGACATCCTGACCTCCCAGACGAGTCGACATCTCGACCGACGGGAGAGATAGCCAGAGATTAGCTAGCAGTCTGACTCAGCCGGCCAGACGAGTCGACATTCATCAATGTCGACACGAAAGGTGGTACTAGTTGGCCCTATCGCAGCAGGCAACTCATCAAGAGCCTAGTTGACCTAGTCGAGTCGATACTCCTCCATGTCGACTCGAAAGGCGGGACGAGTCGTCACCCGACTCCATTCAGCCAGCAATTCTTGAGTCGTCACTCCTCTCCTCGAGTCGACTCTCCTCGCGAGTCCCATCATGAGGGACATTGCTTCTCAGTGAAACTAGAAGATAACTTCGCCAAAACTTATCCATCCTGACAACAAGTATTATCATGTTTGCTCAAAGACCATGCGTCATCACGCCGCTTATCAGCCCGCGTCCCATCGATCGCTCCTCAAATCGAGGCCAAAGTGATCTTCCTCCTGTCGCCAGCCGACACATGTAGAGCAAATGATGACTCACCCTCCAGCTCACACTTTGTCAACGCCATTTGCATGGCCGAAGTGACCAATTTGCCATTGACGTCTTCTTTATATGCAGATGCTATTCGCCATAGCCAAAGGGGAGCAACTTGGCAATCTAAACTCTCCTTCTGACCTAAATATCAGAGATCATCATCTCTAATGCACATAGCATAAGAACACATAGTTCTATTACTCCACTCAAGCTCAAGTTCATCAACTGACTGGATCGTCAGAGGTACCATGGGGAAATAACCACCCCGCCCTCTCATGACTTTCTTCTGTGCAGATCGTTCACTCTAACTCAGTGGCCCAGACATAAAGTCAAGGAAGGAAGTGGCCCCCTCCATCATCACTTCGCAACCATCCTATTCAGGATTATTCTGTGTGATTTGAACATCAACAGTCTAGCGCCCACCATGGGGCCCTCTTTCTTTTTTGAGAGAATATGTCTAGTTCTGAAGATAGAGCTAAGTGATCTCGTCCTGAAGGAGCAGAGCTATGCTACTCAAGCCCAGCTTGAATCAACAGGTCATATGATTCATCAATCTTACCAAGAGCAAATTGTTATCTTTACTAGTGAGCTTCTCAGCCGGCTTCCTCAGCCGCAACAAGCAAATTTTGCACCCCATTAGTCAACTCACCGATGTCTTCTTCCTCATCAGTAACTCATCGGCAAAAGTCCTACCATTATAGCCTCTGGATATGATCGAGTCAGCAGACCGATCGCAAGTATCTTCGGGAGTAACAACCCCCTTTCAGACGACCTTATGAATGTTCCATATGAGAAGTTCAAGATGTCTCGCATGGAGACATACAAGGGCGAGGGAGACCCCTCCGAGCATATTCAAAATTACTATGATGTGATGAGTATGCTCCAAGCATCAGAAGCAATCCTCTGTCGATGATTTCCTATTACTCTTTCACGGAGTGCTAAGCTCTGGTGGAACACTCTCGAGAAGAGATCCATCAGAATATTTTGACAACTTAGCCAAAAATTCATCCACCATTTCCTAGCTGACGCTAAGCGGGAGCTTCCCCCTCATGTGCTGATCCAAATGAGGCAGTGACCAGAAGAGAGCCTCCGAGCCTACTTCAAGAGATTCCAAGCTAAGAGGTTGGAAGTCGACGATCCACGAAGTGCGGTCGCCATGTCAGCACTCGTAGCTGGCCTACAGAGCAATTCATTGGCCGACTCATTGGCTAAGAAGCCAGTCGCCAATTATAAGTAATTGATGGCTAGAGCCCATGGATACATGGACATGAAAGATGCCAGAGCCTACAAGGTGGAAGCCAGGGCTATAGAGTTCTCTTCAGTCGTGCCTTAGGCACTCTGGAGCAAGCCCTTGGTTCCTAAACCCAAGGCACAACCCTTTGAACGACTCCCACAGTCGTCTCTCGGCCATAGGGGAGGGGAAGCTCTAGTCAACTCTCCTCACAGTTCTAAGCATTCGACTCATTAATCGGATTCCAAGCCCTTAGCTCTTTATCAGGGTAAGCCCAAGGCACAACATGTGGTTGGATTCTCTAATTCTCATTAATCATCACGGTGAAGCCCTGGGCACCAAAATAAGTCCTAGGCGACCCAACCTCCGGGCTGGCGTGTTAAAAGCCTCTGGCTCTTTATCAGGGTAAGCCCAAGGCATAACATATGAGCGATTCCTTCGACTCTCATCGATCATCATGGTCAAGACCTTGGTTCCTTCTTAGGGTAAGCCCAAGGCATAACTCTATGGTCGACTCCCACAGTCACCTCTCAGCCATACGAGGATTATGAAGACTTAGATCCAACGTGATACCTAGCCTCAGAATCATCATTCTACCATTAAGACATTGGTATCATCATGAGTAAACCCAAGGCATGGATTTCAATTGCCCGGTTATCTTCAGCAAAGGGACTTAAAGCACATCAACTTGCCAGTCTTCATCGACACAAGACTCGAGCATCTTGCCCACAATAGGCGCAATATGAGCCATTGTCAAGCCGACTCGCAACATTCAGGCCAACTCGCAACATTCGGTTCGACACAACCCGGCCAACTCAAGAATTTCCACTTAGTTCGCTCAATCAGAGCAATGCTACAAATCTATCAGCACTCTTAACTTCAGTCTAGAGCTTTATTCATTTCACTTGGACTCGGCTAAAGTCGACTCGAAACGAAAGGGGCTAATTGTTATGGGGTACAACTGTTTCTAAATATATGATCTGATGAGTCGTCCTCTCCATCCAGCCAAACAAGTTGACACCCCAGTGTCGACACGAGGAGCGGTGCTAATCAGCAGGAGACATCCTGACCTCCCAAACGAGTCGACATCTCGACCGACGGGAGAGATAGCCAGAGATTAGCTAGCAGTCCGACTCAGCTGACCAGACGAGTCGACATTCATCAATATCGATACGAAAGACGGTACCAGTCGGCCCTCTCACAGCAGGCAACTCATCAAGAGCCTAGTCGACCTAGTCGAGTTGATACTCCTCCATGTCGACTCGAAAGATGGGACGAGTCGTCACCCGACTCCATTCAGTCAGCAATCCTTGAGTCGTCACTCCTCTCCTCGAGTCGACTCTCCTCGCGAGTCCCATCATGAGGGATATTGCTTCTCAGCGAAGCTAGAAGATAACTTTGCCAAAGCTTATCCATCCTGACAACAAGTCACATCATGTCTACTCAAAGACCATGCATCATCACGCTGCTTATCAGCTCGCGTCCCATCGATCGCTCCTCAAATCGAGACCGAAGTGATCTTCCTCCTGTCGCCGGTCGATACATGTAGAGCAAAGGATGACTCACCTTCCAGTTCATACTTTGTCACCGCCATTTGCATGGCCGAAGTGATCAATTTGCCATTGACATCCTTTTTATATACAGATGTTATTCGCCATAGCCAAAGGGGGGCAGGTTGGCAATCTAAACTCTCCTTCTGACCTAAATCTCAGAGATCATCATCTCTAATGCACATAGCAGAAGAACACATAGTTCTATTACTCCACTCAAGCTCAAGTTCATCAACTGACTTGATCGTCGAAGGTACCACATGAGAGTCACCACCCCGCCGTCTCACAACCTTCTTCTGTGCAGATCGTTCACTCTAACTCAGTGGCCAAGACATAAAGTCGAGGAAGGAAGCGGTCCCCTCCATCATCTGTCATCACTCTACAAACATCCTATTATGGA